CACGTCCTCGCGAGTGTCAGTTAGCCACTCCTTCCGACCATACTTGTGGTCACCCTTCTTCAGAAGATCCGTCATGTGCCGAGCATAGTTGAGATAGTGACATGATGGACTTTCTGATCTAGCCGGAGAATCTTCTGGAACATCTTCATCGAACCTTCTGAGATAGAACGCAGCAATCCGGCTAAGAACCCATAGAAGATCCGTGTCTGCCTGGGTGACTGGAATGCCCTCGGCGGCAAGGTCTCCATCTGGAATCGTGGGGACGAAATGAGTCTTGTAGAAGACATTACGGTCGTCGCTAGCGGCCGATCTCACAGGTTTGAACTTGACCTGATCAAGCTGGACCGCAACGTTTGGAGAACCATCGAAAGAAATGTCAAAGTTGCCCGAGAATCCAGCCCCTGGCTGAGACCGATCTTCGCGGTTGCATGTCGAGTCAATGGCCACATTCTCCTGGTGCTGTTGACAGGCCAAGACTGAGGGATTGACCCGGATCTTGCCGATGCTCGTGGGCATATGGAGGATTCGCAACTGTTCATCGCCCGGGTAGCTGTAAGCCAGACTGACTGACTGTATGGCAGCATCCAGTTCGACCGGGTGGAACAGCAACACCTTCGAGTCGGGAGTCGTCGCTCGCTTGGCGACGCAGCAAGCTCGCCCGAGCTTTCTTCTGAGTCCAATGAGGGAACGAAAAGGGCCACTGAAGTTGTATTCCAGGCTCTCCATGAAGTTGTAGAGACGAGTTGACTCGACATTGATCAAGTGCGGGGGCGTTGGCTTTCTCTGGGGCAGTAAGCTCCCAGATGCCTCGCCCAATAACACCTTTAGTTCTCCGTCGGCTACCAACGAGAGTTCCTCGCCGCCAAGAGCAGCGGAGTAGGTGAAGAAAGCGGTGATGAAATCTGATTGGGATTTGGAAATCTGTGAAAGTTCAACATGTACTTCGACGCCCGCATCATAACTCTCAAATGGGAAACCTTGACGAATGTAGAAATCCTCAAGCTCGATCAGGCGAATGCTTTGGTCACCGGCGACAGTTCTAGCGGCTTCGAGAGCAGTGCTCACGTAGCCAGCGGCGGGGAACACAATTTGGCCTTGTACCTGGTGACCTTCAAGCCAGGGGATCTCGCTTGGCTTCAAGATATTCTTCCAGCGCATGGTGTGCGGAGAGCTGTCGGGTGAAATATCCCCGAGCAGAGGATGGAACGGCTCTTCGCGAAGACGAATGCGACGCGATCTTCGAGACTCGTGCCAGTATTGTGTCTCATGCTTCCACTGATAGGTTGGAAGACCCTTGAGGACACGGAACTGGGGATTCTCTGACAACATCGCAATCTCGCAACGTTGAAGGCTCACTGATCCTCCCAGCCTTGACCACAAGAAGCCCAGACATGTTGAGAAGCACTCGACAGCATCTTGACTGCGACTCAGAGATCCATGATAAGGGATGGCTTGCTGCAAGGCGTCTTGGATGTTCTGTCCAGCAGGTCCCTTGAGAGCGGGATGGGGTCCGACTTCAAGCGCAACATCAAAAATGGCGTCTGAACTTGCTGAGACTGCGGCTGTGATGGCTTGCGAGAAGAGAACCGGTCTTGTCATGTTTTGTGCCCAATAGATATGACTCAAGTCGGCAGACAGCTCGACGGGTTTGCCATCATGGACACTGGAGTACCAAATGCACCGCGATGACGGTGGCGTCTGTGCCTTGACCCCGGCACGTCGAAGGGAATCCACATAAGAATCGAAGCATGGAGCCATGTGTCGCGAGTGGTATGCTTGGTCAACTCTGAGTCGTCGATTGAATTTCTTCTCGTCGCTCAGAATAAGCTCCAATTCCTCGATGGCGTCTTCGTCTCCTGAGATGGTAACGCTTGACACGGAATTGCACGCAGCGACGGTAATGCGGCCGTCAAAGTCCGGGTCCTCGCACAGCTCCAAGGCATCTTCCATCGAAGTGACTGCTGCCAGCATTGCTCCCTTGATGTTCCCATTCGGGCTTGCTGCATGCTTGCAGTGCAGCCCTCGATAGTACGCGATATAAATTGCGTCGCGGGCACTAAGAAATCCGGCAGCATATGCGGCAGAGATCTCGCCACTGGAGTGGCCTACCACAGCATCAAAATGGATATTCCCAGAACGGAGGAGGTCTACCAGCATGATCTGGACTGCAGTACAAAGTGGCTGAGAAATTGCGGCTTCGTTAAGTCGAGTTGTTGAGGGGTGAGCGAGAAGCTCCTTCTCAAGAGACCAAGTCGGCTGGTCTTCGGCTGGAAGCTGGGCCAAATGCGTCTCCAGCTCCTGAATGATTCTCCTGGCGTAAGATGACTGTTCGATCAACGCAGCACCCATGCGAGCGTACTGGGCGCCTTGACCAGTGAAAATGCCGAGTATTTTTGATGATTTAGCAGAGGGTCTTGTTAGCGTCTTGATTCCGAGGGGCGTCTCCTTCTCATCTAGCCGGGTCTGGATCTTAGTCCTGAGATCGGCGATTGAGGGTGCGGGAAAGGCGGTGCGATAGGGGAAAACGGAACGACGCTCCCTCAGTGTGTATGCCAAGTCATGGGGGTTGATGTCGGAATGGGTGTCAAGATGGTGAAGATACGATGCTAGGTTGGCACGGAGTGCCTCTTCTGAAGCAGCGGAGAACGTGAAAGGGGTGAAGGGTCCACTGGCGGCGACAATTCCAGATCTTTCCGCCGGATGTTGATAGCTCTCAAGAATGGCATGGGCATTGGCGCCTCCAAAGCCGAAGCTGTTGACACTCGCTCGCCTCGGTTGGGAGCTGGCCAACTGAGGCCACGACTGCGCGGTCTTGACAATTTCAAGGTTGTCATAGAATGGCGCGACTGAGGGGTTCAAGTTGTTGAACAAGAGGTTTGGCGGAATCGTAGAGTTTTGGAGCGCCAGTGTTGCCTTGAGGATGGCTGCTACGCCAGCAGTGCCCTCCGTGTGGCCGAGCACGGTTTTGATGGAGCCGACATATAACGGAGAGCTGGCTGAAGTTGTTTTTGCGGTGTCTGGGCCATCGGGGAAGAAGGCTGAACTGATAGCTTCGGCTTCGACAGGATCTATCATCTTTATTAGCAAAACTCTCCGCCAGCAATGAACATTATGCACTTACCGCCAGCCGGAGTGCCAGTTCCGTGAGCTTCAAAATACTGAGGTCTGTCTCCGGGGACGGTAAGATCAAGCCCAGCCTTGGCGTAGGTTTTCTGAATCAAATCTCTCTGGGCAGTGGCACTCGGCATGGTCAAGCCAGCTGTTGCACCGTCCTGATTCAAGCCGGTCTCCCGAATGATGCCTTCGATGTGGTCATTGTCTGCGAGCGCAGCGCTTAGCGTTTTCAGCACGACGGCCGCCACGCCATCTCCACGGGCGTAGCCGTTGGCGTCCTTGTCCCACATCCGACCAAGACCATCGGGAGATAACATCTTGACCTTGCTCTCGACCACAAACATCTCGGGGCCAAGAATGAGATTCGAACCGCAAGCCACAGCCATGTGCGAGTCTCCTGACCTGAGTGTCTGGACCGCGTTGTGTACCGCAACTAAACTAGAGGAACATGCTGTATCTGTCGTGACTGAGGCACCATGCCAGTCGAAGAAGTATGAGATGCGGTTAGAGAGCACCGCCCTCGAGGTTCCCACCGCAAAGTAGGTTGGTGCTTCATCCAGATTGCGGAGTAGCATAGCTTCGTAATCTCCACACATAACACCAGCGTAAACGGCTGTGTCACTACCTCTCAAGCCCTCGATCGTCATACCACCGGATTCGATAGCTTCGTAGACGGTCTCAAGCAGCATTCGTTGCTGGGGATCCATAGCCCGAGCTTCGATAGGGTTGATACCGAAGAATTCTGCGTCAAAGACTTTTGGGTCTTCCTCAAGAAGGTACGAGTGCATAACGTTAGAGCGGCCATGGTGAGAGTTGTTTTCGTGGAAAAAGCCTTTGGCGCTGAACCTGCTCTCTGGGATTTCTCGGCGGGCATCGCGAGGGTTTCGGAGTAGCTCCCACAGTTTCGAAGGAGAGCTCGCATCGCCAGCAAAGTGACAGGCACTGCCAACTATGGCGATTGGTTCGTTGGGTATCGTTTTGGAGTTCATTGTTGGTGCGTATCAAAAGTCTTTCGGAGGACAGGAAGGTTTTGATGCAAGTCCCGTCAAGCAGCGGGAAGTCTAACTCAAGAGGCAGAAGTGGTAACTCTATCCAAAGACTTTGGACGAGACGATGGAGGGTATTGAGGTTCAGTCATACATCCAGCAATCCTGAATCGGAGATGGGCGCTGAACTGCCTGCTGCCGACCTATGATTTGCTGGTCGCTCCGGAGCTCTTCCGTGGTGTCTGTGGATGGCAGTTGCCCGAAAGTCCCCGAGTTTCCGGTCTCATTCGGCCGGCATGACGTTACTAGTGAAACATCTCGAATAGGAAACCGTCACCGATAATATTGAGTCGGCATGTGGTGGCCAGCCAATGGACCGACCGATCGGTACGCCCTAACGCCACAGATTAGAACTTATGTGTGGCTCTCCAGCTACTTTCAACATGCATTGGAAGCCTCAGCCGAGGATTGTCTCTACTCTTCCCGCATTGAAGATTGAACATTCCAACATGAAAGCTGGTCTTGTGACCATACTTTTGAACGACTTTATGATCCTGTCCTTAATTGATGAGACATTATGGTGTGAAGAGGAACATAACGTAGTTATTCGACAATTTCAGTTGCGTGGCGAAACTATAGGAACACGAGCACAGCTTCCGTGCGCACAATTATCTGTATTCATGATCATTGACAAAACTTCGTGGCTATCTTCAGTCATACACCATTATCTCATGGTCTAATAGAAGTCGTGTACCTGCTCTTCAGTCCATTCCCAAAACCTTTTCGCGTGTCCATTGCCCCCTTCCTGTTTGGTCTTCGTTGCATCTTCCAAGTCTGGGCGGATTGGATACAAACGACCCCATGGGACCACTAGAAATACGTCAGCATTGCAGTAAAGCTTCACATCTTCTCATGGAACTTACCCCATTTTCCACTTTCCTTCATCGTGATGCTAGGCGACAGCCCGGAAAACAACTCTGTGTAAGCACCAAAGATAGGGGGCTGAAGAACCAAAGTCTTGATCAAGCTTTTGAACAGGAAACCTCCGTCCCGGTAAAGGTCAGAGTTGAGATGCCCAGGATTACAAGGCACGCTAACGATGCCATCCTCCTGATGGCGTCTTGCAAACTCCACTCCATGCAGCCAGTTGCCAGCTTTGCTGATTCCATACCTTTCCAAAGCCATTAGGGACGGCCAGTAATTGAGGTAGTCCAGGGAAATTCCATGGGACTTCTCGCCGACGACTTCCGTTCCCATCGAAGAAACCCAGACTACGCGGACTGAGTTCGGCGGCTCGATCTTCGCCGTGGAGGCTAAAATGGGCGTCAAGAGCTTGGTGAAAAGGAACACCCCAAGGACGTTGACGCCGAGATGAAGCTCATGGCCTTGTGCAGTCTTGATCGAGCCGTCGCTGTTCTTGAGTGCTTGAACTGCGGCATTGTTGAAAAGCACGTGAAGCTTGCTCTCTTGGGAGGTAAACTTCTGAACGGCAGGCTTGATGGTGGAAAGGTCGGCGAGGTCAAAATACAAGAACACCAGATCACCTTTGCTCTCAGGCCATTTCTTCTTGATATCTTCTATGGCTTGTGTTGCTTTGACCTCAGATCGAGCAGCAACGTAGACTTTGGCATTCTTAGAGTAAAGGATCTGGGCGACCTCCTTGCCTACTCCAGTATTAGAGCCCGTGACAATGTAGACCTTTGAACCAATCAGCGAGCCATTCCATGTCGGCTAAAGTTGGTTATGCTGTTGGAAGCTACCTTGCCTGACAGATCCGGAATGTCTTTTTCAGTAAAACTTGGTTTCGGTGGCCATGTCTGAGTTATGATGCTGGAGAACGATAAAAAGGGAGGCAGAGGCGGACGGGCAGCGGGTTTGTTCGTCGCCATGGCGATTGAACTGGGTCGTAGGAGATGGTCCTGCTAGTTTCTTTCAATCTCACCCCAAAATGAGACATATTCTATCGCAATTCAATAATCCAGGCGGTGATGCTGATGCTCGAGGAAAAGCAACCCATTTGGGAAACCGAGACCGACCGGCCTCGGGGCCAGGGTGCTTCGGTGGATCAAAACCTTAAAAACAGGAGACGGGATGGGAGTCGGCTTTAGACCGATCGAAGTTCTCCGCCATGGATTCTGATTACCCGGGGCTCACTTTTGTGTTTGTAGTCATTCCATTGATCTACTCTTTTCAGATGCTTCTGCTTCTTTACTCGCGTCCTTTTCGTGTCATGAACCAAACTCGACAAGCTCCTTGGCCCAAGAAGCGGCAACTCTCGTCGGAGAACCAGTCCGCCAAACGTCTGATGTCCGGAGCTTCCATGCCACGAGTTGACCAATGCAACCCATTACCATGCCTACGCCGTGCAATGCCTGAAGAATTATGCTGGAGGAGCCTCCGCGACCAGCATCTCGCAACGCAATTTTGGGATTCACTGGGCCCCGGACATTTGCAAATGCAGGTGAGGGATCGAACATAGGTCCGTGAAAGGTTTCTCGACAATCTCGCAGTCTACCATCGGTCATTTCTCCCTGGGGAGACGACGATGGCGTAGTCACTGCTCCGCCGAACTTTGATGGAGGCTTACGAACGACCCTCGTTAACTAATCTCAATTCCAAGTCACATCATTGGGCTGTCGTGGTTATGTCAGTGACTGTAGTGCTGTTTGACATTATTTTGACTCAGTTACACTACACTCACGGGCTATGGCCCCCTGTATCCACGGTACCATACGCGTGTGCGAGTCGTGCTGTCGACCCCTAAAGACGGCTTCGGGAGAACCTCGCCCTTTTTTGGCCGAAATTTCCGCCATGTTGGATTGCCAAGCCGGCCGCCCACGCGGGCGGCCGTAGTTCAAATACGCAGTGAGAGCTTAATTGCTTCCATCCGGATTGTGGGGGATAGAGGAAAAGCATGCTTCTACTCTGTTTGTACGGGTACTTTATTCATCGATTGCGTGAGCCTCAGATAGCGTCTGATTGAGGCCAAGAATGACCACGTCGTTGGTCCTTGAGGTCACAGCAGCAATCAAGCTCACGAGCATATGCAACATGGAATCTGGTGTAGCCATCACGCTCCGTGTTTTTAGATGATTGTCATTCTCCCTTCCTCTTTCGTCTGCTACGAAAATAGTTGAAAATGAGAAAGGGAGACGGCAGGTTTTGCTGGTTTCTCTGCCTGCCACATGGTCTGGCTGCCACAATGGCTCTGGACCATGGTAAGGACCAGTCTTCATTGCAGGTTCGTCGAATAAATACGGCCCCTGTCACAATTAGAAAGCATGTTTCTACCAAGGAAACGACCAAGTGCCGGGCCCGCAGGTTCGGGTGTGCCGCCACCGCGGAACGATGCCAAGACATCGCTGAACTTTGTTTTATGGCGTTCCCAGCATAGGACGAATCCGATTCGTAAGACATCTAGAGGGCCCATATGAGGCTTCATGGCCTTGATCAGACGTTCGTTGGAAAAGGAGGCGTCCCCTTTTGACAACATGTGTATATATCGTCGCGCCAACCGGCTGCAACAGAGGATCAGACGACACCTCTATCCGATTTCGACAGCTTGAGCTTTGAACTCTCCAGACACTCGTTTCCCCAGTTTTGGCTACCTATACATAGCCATTTCATCAATCATTAAATCTGAAGGCTTGGTAATACCGACTTAGCAGGAAACAACATCTCTCGCAATGTACTTCAAAAACACATTGGCTCTCGCCGCGCTGCCGGCCTTGGCCTCAGCCACGTACACCACGGAGTATCTCACCGGCTCTTCGAACAACACCATCCAGGTTCTCGTCGAAGGAGAGGGCCCATCATTGCTTGTCTGGCCATCATACGCTCGCGACAGTATCGAGGACTTTCATGAGTTCTCCGCCGCGCTTGCCGAAGCCGGCTACCGAGTCCTCCGCCTCCAACCCCGAGGCATGGGCGAATCTACCGGCCCTATCAAGACGACCTGGGATGAGCTCGGCGCCGACGTTGTTTCGGTCATTGACACTTTCGGCAATGGAAAGGCCGTAGTTCTCGGTCACGCCGCTGGCCAGAGGGTCACGAAGCACATGGCCGCTACCTTTCCGGAGAAGGTGCCCGCGATCGTACTGGCATGCATCAACACCGGAATCAACACTAACGCCACGATTGCTGCCACGGCGACGATCGCCAGCAACTACAGCAACCCTGTTGAGGAAAGACTTGCGGCACTGGAACTGGGCTACTTTGCCCCTGGCCACAACGCGTCAGTCTGGTTGTCGGGATGGTTCCCCGAAGCCGTCGGCTCTGTCTCAGGCACTGGCGTCAGCACCCTTGGAGGAAACAACACACAGATCCTGGATGTCATTGCAAAGTTGGACCCGTGGAGAGCGGAAGACCAATGGAACTACACCACTGGGCTGGCGGGTGATCGTTCTACAGTGGTATTCGTCGAGGACGCATCACACGCGTTGTTCCCTGAAAACCTGCAGGGACTCCTTGATGTTCTGCTTCCGTGGTTGAAGACTCAAACATCTGGATGGCTGTAGATACTTTGACCTTGACGTATGGTAATCCCTTTATAATCAATGGATTTGAGGCATCGCCGTTCGTCCTGCCTCCCAAATCACCTAAGATGAGTCGAGTTGTCGCCCACCAATGCAATGAGCAGTCGTCCTTGAATGAACACTGGAATTCAAACATTCTCTGTGTTATGTACGTTGAACCGGTCATGCCCCGCCTTTTGTCCACCAGCCCCTATTGGAGGACCCCGTGACTCGACATTCATCGATGGTCCCCTGGATCTAGCCATCTCCGGCATGGTCTCAAAGTCCAGATTATGCCCTTCCAACTCCTCTGTGAAGCTACGGTTAAGTTCCGTTGTCAGAGTAGTAGAGTCATCCTTCTGATTCTCGGCAAACGGACTGATCAGCTGCCTGACGTATCGGTCCATTTCGCCAAGTCGCCCAGGATGTCGAAGTCCGGCCTCCGTCGTCTCGTCTTCCGTAGTAATTCGTGCTATCCCACCGTGATAATCTCTCGGGCTGATTCGACCCAATTCCAATTGATTCGAAAAGTCCCTTGACGTACTCTCAACCTTGACCTCGCGCGTAACGTAAATAAAGTTGTTCCATGTCTTGGTGACGACGGGCCAAAAAGCTGGGATTGACGCCAACGCCAGTGACAATCGATTCTCGGTTTCTCCCAATAGTATGATCGTCGGGAATGATTTTGTTGGATCGGGCTCTCGGTCTGATGTTGACCTGTTGGCAACGATGCGTCCTCCTGCTATGACATTGATTCTAGTTGCCACATTAGTACCCAAGCCCCAATGAACACCTGTAACAGCACGTAGTCGGATTCTTCGCATGCGCTTACAATGCCCCGATGAACAATAACCCCATCAGCCCTAGTTTTGTCCGTCGAATAGTATCGTCGCTAAACAAGAGAGGGATAGGCAGGACAAGAATGATAAAGTCCAAAGCCATATTCGTCGCATTAGATGACACGACTACGTTGTAAACTTCCATCGAGTTGGTGGAGCCGTATCCGTAACAGTTCGATTCTGAGCCTAGGCGATAGAACTGCTGGACTGGGAAGCATGGGAACCATGCCATGAAGGAGAAAGCGAAGCCCCAGATCGAGACGATGATAATCAGCACCGTTGTTGCAACTCTAAGATTTCGCATGCGGTCTTTGAACAATCGGAGGTACTGTAATAGAATCGACAGTTTAACCAGAGCGTTTGAGGTGGAAAATGACGCGTTGGACATGTAAAATAACTGCTCCAAGTGTGAGCCTAAGTCGTTCTATTGCGCCTGCATGGGAACCAATGGGCACCGCTCACGAGAAAGAACATCTCTCTGTCGCTGTCGGGGACTTCTCTAAAAGGATGTCCTAGGCCGTAGTTTGTTCCTACTTCTCTGTTAGTCTTGAGTACTGCTGAAGGGCACAAACATCGCATCAAATACCCAGAGCAAGTCCTATCGCGCTGGCTGAACCGGCAAGCTGTGTGGTAGTCAGCACCCATGATTGCCATGATAGAATAGAAGTAGTACTAATGCTAGCAAGACGACGGCATCATCCCAACCAGGTGCTCGTACGATCCGCACTCTCACAAATATTCTTAGGCCGACGCAAAACCAAGCCACAACCTATGAACAATTGTCAGCAGCAAGTCGCAACGACATATTTTGCGGAGATTTATACCAAGCCAGACGCAATGACGCCTACGATTGTGCTTTTGCGATTTTCCAACGGCAAACCCTCGTCGGTGTAATGAGAGGGAAATTCGCCAGCACGGGTGAGGTTCCCGTACATCGTCGTGAAAGGGAAAACCCGACGACGACTACACTGGACTCACGACCACAACAAGCAACCGCAGGGGATTCGTCCATTGTCGCATGGCAGAATTTCTATCATGAAATGGATGGGAAGTTGTCGAGTGAACATACCCCCCAAGAATCCAGGGGGGGCATTGCGCACGTGATTCGCAGCTTCTTTTGACTGTTTCATCCTCGTCAGGAATTCGTACTTTCATTCGATGTGTAAACAACTACCGGGCGCACACTTCCGCATGCCAATGACTCGGTTCCATTACATTGTGACAAATTCACCAGCTCATCCACGCGACTCAAAAGCTTATTTTGTCGTTAATACACCACGAACATTGGTCTGTCGTTCTAAGGTAGCAAACCTACGACACGTGGCGCGGGGGACATAACCCAATTTAGGGATTGGAAAATGCGTATCAGTGGTTAAGAAATCGTTCGGGAACCTCGTGGGAGCGGGATGCCGATGAGCAGACTTTGGTATGAGCGGGATTAGTCCGAACGGGATCTGCACCGGAGACACCTTCCGATTACTTCGGTGCGGAGCGACTTCGCAACTCCGCACCGGGCATGTATACCCCTGATAACAGGCATTTTTAAGAGCATTTGTTCCCAGAAGAAGGCTGAACGGATTAATGCCTCCTTGGAGATCATTGGATTGAGGGATTCCTAGCTCAAGTAGAGTCGGGGAATAGCCATGAAGAATCCGACGGCGTCGGGGCCGTCGGATACCGCCCCTCACTTCGTAGGAACAGGTTTGCCTGACTTTGACTTTGAACCAAAGTCTATTTGGTCTACCATTTCCTCTCATTGGGAAGTATTCAAGCCTGTGATCGCATGTCAGAGGCGAACGCACCCCTCTCAGACACTAATTCCCCCTCCACAGAAACACTTGGTACGCCCCTCCCCCCCTGCCTCCTAAGGTTGGTCTTTGGATTGGTTTCTCACGGTACTTTTGTGGATGCCGATTCCTTCCTAATTACTGCGTACTCTATATCTACTCCACGCCTGTGATTGAAGGGCTGAGTCAAGACACATCAGATAATAACCCGCAAGAAAGTTCAGACAGAAGCGTATAGGCCAGTGGGGGCGGGTGAACGGACGAGCTTCTCTCGTTGTAGACACCAACTCGTCTGTGGTCTACTTTTGTTTTGTTCCCTACTCCATGTCATCTACTCTAGAGAAATATTCCCACCGGATGCAGGGTACGCAGACACCTCTGTTACTCGTCTGTTGTCTCATCAGCATGAAGGCGCGCGGACCAGTTCAGTCCAGTCAGCTTGCCTCGGGTTTCGAATGAGGCTAACTCCGGATGACATAGGGTTAATTGCATGGGGCGTTTCTCGCAAAAGTGAGGCTGTCACGAATGCATGCTATCCAGTCTGTCAACCTATGAAGATGCACCAGAACCCGAATACTTCGGCTTCAAGTACATATACAGCCCGCCCTTCTCCCACATGAGATACGACCGTTGCTTGTCCATCCAACCTCGGCTCTGCTGCGTAACCTCAACATCGAAATTCCACAAAACACGTGCCAGGATGAAACGCATCTCAGCGTTAGCGAGGCTAACCGTTCAGTCAGCAAGCGTCCCGCACTCGAAAAGGTTGGGCGATACTCACTTCAACCCAATACAGTTGCGAGGACCGTACGAGAACGGGTGGAACCCTTCTCGCCGGTCGGTGGAGAACTCGGAAGTCTTGCTGTCGGCGAGCCATCGCTCGGGGATGAACTCGTCGGCACGCTTGAAATTGGCTTCGCTGCGGTACATGACGCGATGCGGGATGCCCACAATTGTCTACGATAGTTATCAGCAGGAAGCCTTACCTCAGATTTACACATTGTGCCAACTCACGTTTCCCGGAATAAAGTCCCCAAGAATCCAGTTTCCCTCGGGAGGCGTCGTCCGCCACAATGCATTCGGACCGGGAGGGTGGTACCGGAACGTCTCGTCGATGACGGCAGCCAGGTAACGTAGCTGCATGGCGCTTCGCATGTTAATCTCATCTTCGCTCTTGAATGTGTCTTGCAGTTCCTTCATGAGCTTGGCCTTGACCTCCGGGTATGACGCCAGCATGTACATGATTCCTGAGAGGGCGCTTGCCGTCGTCTCCGCACCTGCGAGGGTTAAGGTGACAGCGTTACTGTAGATCTCTTCCTGTGACATTTTCTATCAAATAATTAGCACGTCTACAGAAGGATAGGGTTGTCGAAGGGGGGCCCAGTCATACCAAGCCATCTTTTTGAGTGAGCATGACCTGCACCAGATCAGGCCTCTCCACATTCAGCGCAAGCCTCCGATCGACCGTCTCCCTCAAGACTTTACGGTGCTGCGCGTACTCCCTCACCAACTTGATCGTCGCCAACACAGGGGCAAAGAAAAAGAAGAACGGGATACGCGTGCACAGCAGAATAATGTATGTCAACTTGATGTTGCTCAGCACAAACGAGATCCAAGGGTGCATCATCGACTCCCGCAGACATCCAAACGGCTCGCCAAACGACAAGTCGCCCGTGACGTCGAACAGGCAGTACACGAACCACTGCCACAGATCGATCGCGGCCTTGCCGTCCTCAGCCCGTTCTTTCAGGCGCAGGATCAACAGGTCGACGTATCCCGCGATGGCCGGCTCCTGCTCCAACATGGCGTTGGTGGTGAAGCCATTGCTCAGGATCTTGCGCATGCGCCCGTGGTCGCCTGTCGCGGCGCCGAGGATGTCGTTGGCATCTTTGCTGAGGTACCACGACGGCTTCTGGTTCTCCTTGCGCTTGCCAGCGCGGTAGCGGCCGTAGACGTCGTCCCACGCCTCGGGGATCGCGTAGGAGAGCTCGTTGGGCCCGACGCGGACGATGGGGCCGTACTTTGTGTGGATGTCCATCAGGCTGTTGTGCATGTTGCCGGCCATGAAGGAAAAGCCCCATGGGAGGACGGAAGCTGCCCATAGTTTCGGGCCTGGGTATTTGCGGAGAGGGTGGAAGTAGACATTGTAGATGGGTCGGAGTACCACGAGGTAGACGAAGGTCTGCCTCATGTGTCAGCTCTTTCTTCTACGTTCGCCGTGGCAGGATAGCTCACTAGTCCGGCGATGACAGCGCCTAGTATGGGCCATGAAAGCCCGAGTGTGACTTCAGCCAGCATTCTTGCGGCTTCTCGTCGCAGTCCCGTCCCCAGGAGAGTTCAGATGAGAGCAAAGTTGAGGTTCAACAGTGACAGAAACTTTGCCGAATGATGACCTGCATGAAGGTTCAAGCCGATCCAGTGTGCTGGGAGGGAGCAACTTCCAGAAAATGGCAGTAAATGTGGTCTGCTAGCCACAACACCAGTCTTTGCAACACACGCCAGAAGCCAAGTAGTCCATCCGAACCTTAAGGTTCAGGCATCGCATTCTTCAGATACCCGTCTCCGGCTACTGCGTGGGACGATGTCCGGCCCCGAGTCGCAAGCCGCCATTCGGAGGCGGGGTTCGGTGCCGGTTTCCTAATTCGGAAACCACTGGGAGTCTGAGGAGCAGGGATCTGTCGCCTTGCTCGATGTTACAACGTTCTTTATCGTTCGAGATTGATTCCGGCCACTAGGTTATATGGCTAGACGGGCATTCTGGCAATTTGAATCCGAAGCCTAGAACTCACCCATAACGCAAACGTCCTCCGCAGCAAGATGGCACTACCAAAGACCCAGACTGCAGTAATCCAGTCGCAAGCAGCATCCAGAGAATCCGGTCTCCGTCTAGCCGTCAGCACCTCCAAGCCCATCCCAGAACTACCAACGCCATACCATGTTCTCATCCGCGTCCTCGCCGTGGGCCTCAATCCCACAGACTACAAGATGGTCACCCACTTCTTCATGGAAGGCAACACAGTAGGGTGCGACTTTAGCGGGATCGTCGAAGTCGCAGGCTCATCGTCCATCGTGCCCTCCGGTGTCCGGGTCTGCGGCGCTGACTTCCCTTACCGCCCTGACAACTCTTCAAACGGTGCCTTTGCGCAATACGTTGTCGCGGATTCGCGGCATACGATCAGAGTGCCGGACGGGTGGAGCGATACGCAGGCGGCGGCATTAGGGTCTATCGGATGGTGTACGGCATGTCTGGCCATCTCAGACCCAGAGGCACTGAATCTGAAGGGACTGCCGTCGCGTCCCGCAGAGAAGCCGAGTCCTGTGTTGGTTTACGGCGGTGCTACGGCGACGGGCATCATGGCTATACAAATGCTGAAGCAGTAGGTTAAGATCAGTCCCTTGCAGATAGGCAGAAACTCACCTCAGACAGATCGGGCTATGCACCAATCGCTGTTTGTTCCGATAAATCAGCACCACTCGTCAAGAAGTACGGTGCCATCGGCACAGCTTCGTACACCTCGCAAGACTGTGCCAAATCAATCCAGCCCCTTGCTGGTGGGATGCCAATTAAGCACGCACTTGATTGCATCACGGATGCCGAGTCTGCCGCTATTTGTTACAGCGTGCTGGCCAGGGTCGGAGCGAGATACGCATGCCTTGAAGATTGCCCCAAGCAATGGCGAACAAGGCGCGCTGTCAAGTCGAAGGCAGTCATGGGGTTTGAGGCACTTGGGTACGACGTTGACTTGGGCCATCCGACATACTCGCGGAAGGCGAACTTTGAACTCCACGATGTTGCTGCGCGGTGGGCTGGAGAAGTGCAGTCGTTGTTGGAAAGCAAACAGCTGGAGACGCAGCCCATCAAAGAGGTGAGTGGTGGTTTCGAGGGGGTCATCAAAGCGCTTGAAATGTTGCAAAGTGGCGAAGTCAAGGGCGAGAAGCTCGTGGTCCAAGTATCAAGTTAGAACACCGCATGAAGAAACCCTGTCTATCATCGTGCGTCAGAATCGCCTATCACTAGCATGGGGAGTGCATTTCTCTAAACTTGGAGCTATTATGACTACCTGTGCCAACGTGTCCACGTTTGCACATCAAAAAAGGCTCTGCGTCTCCTGACGAGCGGGGACATTATCGAAAGACATACTGCGGTAAACATCCCACCAATATTATATGCTCACGTCCTGACATCCATGCATGACCCCTCAAGGGTGGGAATCCTGCGAGCCGGTCTCCTAAGAGTCGAGGATCTCGTCCATCCTCTTCTCGACCTCTTTCATCTCCTTGGCGATCTCGTCCTTCTTCTTGATGATTTCGTCCATCTCCTTGGTGATCTCGGTCTTTTTCTTGGTGATCTCCGTAGCCTCGCAGACAGTGGCATCGTCTTTCTTCTCGAAGGAGTCAGTGATCATGGCGAGCTCTTCCTTCCTGCTTCTTGATGATCTCCGTAACCTCGGGAACAGTGGCATCGTCTTTCTTCTCGGAGGCGTCAGCTATCTTAGCAGTAGAAGGGTCCGACTTGGCAGAAACAACTTCATCCTGATGGGGAGTAGCAGCCTCCTTCTTCTCAGAGACGCCAGAGTCCTTGGCAGGGGCATCCTCCTTCTCGTTGGTCGAGGCATTCTGATCGGCCTTGACGGCGGTCTCCTTCCTGCCTTCGATGGAAGCGTCCTCGCGTTGATGAGCAGCTTCGTTCTTGTCCGCGATGGACTGGAAAGTAGCAGCGGCCGAGCCGGCGGGAGGGCGATGGCCAAGAAGGCGAGCCTGTTGGAGCCAACGTCAGCAGGTCCCAAACGACAAGTTCGGGGATGCAAACATACTTCAGCAGTCTGGAGCTCCTTGGCATCGTCTTTCGTGATGTCCGACTCGGGCTTGCTCTTGAGATCGGCTTCCATCTTCAGGAATGTCTGCTGCTTGTCGTGCATGCTTTGAGCAGTGGCTGGGATTAGACGTCAGCAAAGAACTAGAAAAGGCAATTAGCAACAAAAGGGAGGCATCTTACCAGCAAGACCGTTCTTGACGGTGTGGTCATTGCCGGTCAAGGCCTTCTCGGCCTTGTCGATGTCGGCAACCTCCTTGGCCGTGATGATGTGACCGTTCTCGGCGAGGTTCTTGATGGTTTCCTTGTCGGTGGCAGCCATTGTGTGCAATTTCTTGGATCTTGGGGTTCGTTTGTGTGGGGTAGTAGGGAAGAAGTGGTGGCAATGAGGCAAGTTTGGTGTTGATTGAGGTTGGGTGATGTTGGAAGTGGGAGGTTTGAGGATGTGGCCGGGGGAGAAGAGGTTGAAATAAATACCCAGAGAAGTCGGCTTCCTATTGCTTCCTTCTTCGTTTGTTCGGTCTTGCACTTTCTGCATTGAAGCTTTCATTACGGGAAGGCGCATACTGTCAAAAGGCAGTCGCCGACCCACCTCCTCCTGCTTAAGGTAGAACAAGAAAGCCCGTGTCTGGAGGTTGAAACAAAGCAGGAGCCTCTCCTGGATGAGCAGGCACCTACTCCAGTCTTTCAGCCCGACAGATAGTCAAGTGCAATTCGGGAGGTACGAAACTCCAATGTCATTGCCACCTGCCTTAGACTGGGCGGAAAGCTTGATTCTCACCCCGCCACCTCGCTTCACGCTGCGGAAGCCATCATAGTTCTAAGTATTTACTGATAGTAACAACGAGGAGAAAATGACAGAATATTAGTTCAGTTACCTAATATAGTTCCGATGGATAGGAACGTTCATTTTTGGTCCCGCTTAAAAGCCCCTAGAGCTTGCAAAATCCGACATGTATGCTTCAAGATTGGGAATTGTCTTCCTGTGACTTCCGATGCGAAAAGACTCCGTACCCTCTCCAACGCAGAAACCAGTAATCCTTCTTCACCTTCATAGCTTCTTGTTCCTGCAACGTTATTGCTGGTGCTCCTACAATCGTTCTCGATAATTCCCGCAACACTTGAGATGTACGGCTTTCCATTACCGTAACTGATCCATCGCTGAGATTTGATCGTCTCTTCGCCATCAATCTGTATCCTCAGCTCGTCCTCAGCAGATTGTGCTTCGCCACCTGTCATTGACGCAGGGCACGTCTGATACAAGTTGTAGACCCACAAGCTCAACATGGCCTGGTAACATGCAAAGGCGTGAAAGTCTGCCCTATCCTTCGGCGAAAGCCGGTCCACAGCTCGGAGGATCTGCCCCGAATGCCAGGTCGCACGCCTAGCTTGTTGAGTTCCTGCCCAGCTTCTTAATTGCTCGAACGCCTCGCGAGACGAACAGTAGCTCTCGTTTCCTAGCAGAGCATCCACCATGGGCATGGGTGCAGATGCGCAGAACTCGCTGTATCCGAAGTAGAACGACGCGAGAGCATGGCTTGCGTCCGGCTCTGACTTAAGGATATAGCGAACATCATTGAAAGTCCTCAAGTCCGCTGTTGTGATTTCCCAAGTATCTGGAATGCCACGGGCCCAGTCTGTCCGGCACGCGATGTTAGTAGCAAGGTAACGCGTGCGAGCTTCGACCAAGGTCGGTATCACAGAGCATGAGGCCATCAAGACCGCAAAGTTGAAGTCAAATGACGGTGGCAACCTCTTGAGAACAGAAATATCAGAGAGACACTTTGAGAGACTCAAGCTTTTCTGGTCTTCCGGGCCTCCATTCAAAACCTGACTACATGTCATGCTCCACTTCGCGGCAGATTCTGCGAGCCAGAGCTTGGAGGTATCCGGCAGTGGAACAGTCATGTCGTGGCTGGGTACCGGAGAGGGTGTGTTCCTGAAGGCGCTCCGTTGTATACACTGCAGGTAAAAGCGATGGACAGTTCTAGATCAGGTTAGCCAAATCCAATGACAACCAAATTACAGCAAGGAAATCTGGTTACCTCTTGAAGGATTCTTGATTCGCCCATTCAATCCATAAAAGGTGCAAGTCTTCTTCGTCCCCGTTCACGGATCGCGTGACCGACTTGTAAGATACGCGAAATAATCGTTTGCTATGGCGTAGTATCTAGAGCTTGTTGATTAGCATCAAAAGATCATGAGCATTACATCACCATCAGCTTCTTCGTACCGACGCAAGAATAGCCGAAGTGGCATCAGACATCTCAGTCTTTCGCTGGTCTCCGCTCCAGAGGGCGCATTCACACACCAAGGTCATGGCCTGGATGAATGACAGGCTGCGGGTGATTGCGTTGTCTCGGTCGCCCTGGGACACTGTGAGAAACTTGAGAGCAAAGAGGCTACCGGACCAACTCACGGAATCCATCAGAATCATTCTTACCACATCCATTAACGCAAATCCAAATTCATTTGCCAAAGGATGTGTTGAAAATGCAGCGCCAGCCGATATCATGGCGGCGAGGAGCAGAGGGTCGCATTCAGCGACATTGAAGGTGGGAAGATGAATCATTCCAACAATGTCGTCCCGCTGTCTGGACAGAAATATCTGCAGCATCTCTCCGAGAATTCTTGCTGACGGGAACGAAGTTGCTGCCGCCAGACTGGGGGGAGTTGCGGAATGCTTCTGAACCAGATACACAATCTGGTCTCGTTTCTCCGCGGTCAGATGATGACTTGATGACGACAAATCATGTTCCCTCATCTGACCAACCATAGACGCCTGTTCCGTGACCGATATGAAAAGACTCTCGGTTCTGGAAGAGGCTCCCTGCGCCGGCTTCCAGTTACCCAGCGTGTTGTCGTAGACTTTGCTCGCCTCATCAGAGACCACAATCTGGTCACTAGATTCAACGAGCAACGATTGACGCGCTTCTGTCTGTAGGTTTACCTGTGAACTCGGGGCCAGCATAGGCGCAAGCGAAGACAGCATGGATGAATCGATCCCAAAGACATCGGGCGCTCCAAATGAGGTCAGGAAATCATTGAACAGAAACGAGTCGTCCGCCCATGAGCCCTGCCCGATGTCTAACTCCAAAGCAGCTTTTTCGGCCACGGCAGTCATGGCTGGCGAAACGGTTCTTGAAGGGACGAGAGGGGAGACGTCATCCTGTGCCAGCTCACGCCCATCATCGGCAACGCAAAATGGCCCAGCGCTTCTGATGCACTCAATGCCTTTTCGTAGACACCTCCGGCAACTCCTTTGATCGTCACATCTGACTTTAGATGTTGCGCAAGAATCACATGCCTGTGATGCCCGGGGTGGTCGGCGGGATAGTTGCCTTCTCTTAGCAGACGGGCGGCCATCACCGTCAACCAGGTTCTTCCCAGGCAGGATTCGCTTTCGACCTTCCATCATAAAGACGCTTATTGTTCTTTCTGATATGGTCTTGATCTCTGGCTAGATAGAGCCTGGGTGAGTTGGTTGTTTGTCGTGCTTGAAGACCACCGTTGGGTCTGAGGGGCCATTGGTTGGTGGTTGGTGGTACCAGGTTGCCTTAGCAATAAACCAAACTGAGATATGTATACCGAAACGCAAAACGCGTCCTTCAGGACAAAACAGATAGTCAACTTTCACACTTCTAGGCAGAAAGGGGCTGAATCGGACGGACATGGAAATCCGAAGCTGCGGCCCGCTCCTCGTCGATCACTGGCGATGATGTGGGGAACGGCCCCTCACCAGCGTCTTGTAAGCGGCTTCGCGGACAGCAACCAAGCCCGAGAACACGCTCATGGTTTTGTGGTTTCCACAAGCGTGCTTCTCCGTCTGACACTAGATCGCCATCCTATTAAGGCGGTTTTGGGGTGGTCAAAAGAAATCCAATAATTGGCAGATGCCTTATGCAGGCTTGGTTCCACTATCCATGATTCTAAGCACTAGTGCATACAAGAAGACCTCCTCCTACGCCTGAATTGATACTTGTTGAAAAGCTGACGCCTATCCACCCTGCGTAAAGTGGTGCCTGGTTTTGGATCAAATGTTTTCTACATAGCTGCTCCGCGGCACTCTCTTTCGATGAGTTGCCGATGGGACTCACTTCGAACGTTGATCTTCACCTGGAATGACGGACCATGCTTCGTCACCTTGGGTGACTGCGAGGTGTGGATCGTCGCGCCAGGTACTGGCAGAACGTCGAAACAGTAGACTAGTCGAGCCAATGAGATGTGCAAGTTAGTGATAGCTACGTTATAGCCAACACAAAGTCGTCTCCCTGCATGACAATTAAGATTAAGCCAAGACGGAACGATGGACTTTACCAAGATGAAAATGGCATCTTACCTGCGCCGAATCCGAGATGCCCCTTGGCAGGCTTATCAAGATCTTCGTTGATGAATCGTTCTGGCCAAAACCTCTCCGGCTGCTCGTACTCGTCCGTGGAATTGGCAATCGCCCATTGATTATACGTCACGATCGTTCCCGCTGGGATCTTGTATCCTTCGAATTCGTCGTCTCGCATCAACGCATGCGGGATTCCCGTCTCAGCAATTGTCGGCCTGGCATCGAGATCCGTTAGCGGTGTTATTCATGCATTTCCCACGATCCACATAAGGCGGTTTCCGGGAGCACGAGACTTACTTCCATCGAACACTCTCCTTCACTGCACCCTTGATGATTGGCAGGTTCGGCATGTCCTGGGCGGTCGGCAATCGCTCGGCGTGAGCACCGCATACTTCATCAAGCTGCTTCCGAGCACGCTCAATCCAATCCGGCCACAACGCGGCGGCGGCTACACATTGGTCCAAGGATGCGCGAGTGGTGTCCGTGCCGGCTTCCATGAGGGCGCCTGCCATGAACAGAAACTCGTCCTCGGTGAAGTCGGAATCGTGCTCCTTCTCGAGGAATTCCGTCATGAAGCAGTCCCGCTGCTTGCCCTGTGCTCGCCGTTCGCGAAGTTGATCCAGCTCTCGCTTGTATACCCTGTACGTCGATGAGTGATTGTGGACCAGCGAGTCTGGGTGTGGGAGTCTCACGCGCGAGTACGCTCATACAGGTCGTCCCCATACCACCGCCACGGCTGCAGACTTTTGAACCATGGAATGTTGGCGAGGAAAGGAAAATGGTCGACGATCGCGCGGCCGGGCATGAGATACTCGACAAACTCTTCAGATACAGCAAGAGAGTCGCTCAAGTTCGCATCATCAACGCCGGCTCGGCGTCCGAAAACGACGCTCATGATGACCGAGCCGGAAAAGGCCCCGTGGCTCTTCCACCATTCATCTGGACGTTCGAGGTAGTTGAGGAGCAAAGCCTTGGACTCTAGGTCTTGGAACGGCTCGAAGATGTTGCGCTGTGTAGCATTCAGAATCTGATGCATGACCTTGCGCTCTCGACGCCACAAGTCTCCGTAGGGCATTAGCAGGGTTCGTTTGCCGCGGGACACGAGGTCGTAAGCCATTGGGAGATTCATTCTCGATGAGTATATGGCTGCTCTCTTCTCCAGGAGCTCGTTGACAGTCCTTTTGGAGTTGAGAAATAGCCAGTTCGTCCCTCCGATGTTGATAGTGAACCTAAATGTAGGGTTCATGGTCAGCGGCACCTTCTTGTAAGCGCTTGTTCGACGATATTGACGGCGCAGTAATCACACTTGAGCTTCTTACATTTCGCCATACTTCGTCGCCAGGTCTTGGAAGAATAGGTATGGAAGGTCTCGTGGGATTTGATGGGCGTTTCCAAGTAGAGGTAATCCGGGAACCGGATTAGGCAAACGATATCGCTTCTTGAACTGTATCACCTTCACGAACTTTCGAACCAGCCATGCGAGTAGAAGAATGTAGACGAAGGTCCCAACCGCTTGGCTCGGCAGTATTGTTTTTGGAGAGAGGAGCCTCATTTTTGCGTGGCGTTACCACAAGAAAATGGGCGTAAGGGAGGTTGACAAAAATCGACGATGCAATTTTTAAGAGAGAGAAGCTATTGCGTGACTTGAACAAATTCGTTGCCCGCAGGGCCGGAACTAACTAGTACTTAAGGAGCACAAGCATTTCGCCTCCCGGCATGGAAAGGTAATGATCAATACTCGCCAGTATCATTGTGCAGAAGCTCCCCAACACCCTGAGAATCATCGGGGCATGCCGATGCCTCTTGTCTGTGGATTTTGTGTGGTGCTATGGAAATGGGTTCGTCGACTACAAGACATGAGGTGCCGGTGGATCGGGGAATGTTGACTCCCCGAGATGGAGGTTCGGCATGCCGAGAACCACTGATTGGCTCAGCGGCTGAACCTCTCCGTTGAAAAGCATGACACGTTGAAACGGTTTGACTACATCTATAATCTTGAATTGTGTTCTGGATTGTCCAAAGTTAAGCATTTTGGGAAAGAGGAAGTGGTGCACGCTTCTCTGAGGGCCGTACTAAGTGTGGAGTCGGTTCGGTTTGTGAAAAGACCTCGACCAACACGCTCTATTCTTCTGACGAGTGCCTCGTCTACTTTAATCGCAAATTTGAGGGTCGTCAGTTGAACTAAGGACATGAAGTGATGTCTTAGGTGAAGGTTGGGATCAGCAGGGTGAGCAAGCCTTGAGATTATGTCCTCAGCTTAGATTGCTCATAGTATCAGGCTAGATCATTCATATAACTCATGCAGGTTTGTCTTGCTTACGCACCTCGGACTCGAGCCAAGACTGCATCCACCCTGACCAACCTACCTGTGTAAGCCTCAGCCTCCCAACAAGCCATCCTGTAGATCCTTCCCCCGCTAATGCCAGCGACTAAATTTAGACCCCAATCCTGATCGCATTTCATTTCAGTGCATAGTCTCGCACTGAGCCCCGCACTTAGCCTTAGCTTCCTGTCCCACACGTGCACAACCGGGATCAGCTGCAAGTCGTCGGATTCTCGTGCGGTTCATCTGGAGCTTCTGCGAGGCGGAGTCTAGTAACATCCATGGAAGCCTATGTTTATGCTTATTTGGCTGAAAGGTCGGTTTCCTCTTGAATGCTGCGGAAGCCTTGGCGGGCTTGTCATGGGTCGAGGCTGTTCAAGCGCTGCTGGAAGCTGTCAGTGCTAAGCCTGGGCCCGGAGCTGAGGCCGATCATGAGATTTTGATGCCAACAGAAGCCTTGCGCCAGCCCCGCTGGGTACAGCAGTCCCGGGGCTATCATGAATGTCTCGGCCATTTTCATGTCAATGCCGAGTAGATATAAAGTGGAAGCTGTTTTCCGACACGTATTCACATTTTCCATCACCAGCATCTCATCGTTACACACACTACAGCACCGCCTTGTCCCACGCCAGAGTTTCACCGCATTATATCCTTCTTCAACCCGCCTAGTGCAACCTCCTCCAAGTTTCTTCACCGCTTCAAGATGTCTTCCAAGCTCCTCCTCGCCCTGGCCGGCATCATCTCTCTTGCTGCGTCCCTACCCTCCGCACCTCGCGAATGCTCCCAAACCTCGGTCCCGCCCAGCGCGTCAACCGCGACCCCGGGTTTGATCGCCCATCCCCAACACTTCAACGTCTACCAGTCCGCCAACCAACCCAACCACCACACGGACAACGTCCCTCATCTCGACCTTCACACCAATATTACCCGCCAGGTCGTCGTCTTCACCGGCATCCCGCCGTCAGCCAAGACTTGCTCGCTCGGTTGGCGCCAGGGCCCGATCGAAAACCGCGTCTTCCGCGTCGATGGCAACGGCCTCGTCTCCTCGCGCCAGCTCAAGTCCGAGGGCTTCCCGACGTGGACCACCGGCAGCGACGTGCTGATCAACCCCACGACGATTGCACCGTTCCAGGAGGGCAGCGAGTTCGTCCCGGGAATGGATTTCACCTTCTGGGACCAGCCTGAGTTCTCCGCCCCCGCGACGCACGGCGGCCCGAGTGTCAAGTGCCAGGAGAGGATCGTCGTGGAGCTGGCGGTCAACTTCAATAACGGACAAGATGGGCGGGTGTTTATGCAGGATGATGCCGAGAATGGGTTGTACATTTCGTACTCTTAGGAAATGTTTCGTCGGAAGAGCTGGGCTTAATGGCGTCGTAATTGGTTGGCTCGGGGAGTTTTGGGATATTCTTCTGACGTTGAATAGGTAGCTTATTTTGCCCTGACAATATTGCACATATTCGAGAAATTCCGAAGTTACTATCTTGGTATCCGTAGCTGACTTGACTGGCTGGTAGAAGGTGTTGCGGCTTGAACTATCGTCCTGTCCAAGCGATAGCTGACAATTCGAACTCACAACGAAGCCATGCCATCTCAAAGGCCTTCGGAAATAAGAAACCTATTCGCTCATAACTGAATGTGCCACAGTGCGATCGGGTAGCCAGGCCGTGGAGTTGACAGGCCCTCTCCCGTGAGTTCCAGCCCGATCATGTCTATCCAGAGAACGAGGCCACTCCGATACCCCATGCATTCAGGTGGTAAACTGAGCCGAAAGCCAAGGACATTGCAATCAACAGTTGAGATCAGCCCGGGAGTATTGCGAGGCTTGTGGCTAAGCTAAATTCCGCAACAGCCGAGCTTACCATGCTGTAAGTGCGGGCTCTCGGGAGGAACGTCGGCCGCTACTTGAGCATGACACATCACCGATGTGTTTTGATGAGTCAAGGCGGTCATCTTCTCCAGGTTAATGGATCTGAATGAAAATTCCTATCCCAAAGGCTTGCCCAGAAAGCGTAGCTTTAGCGGAGAGAATACTCATCTCAGACTCCGAGCTGGCTTTCGGGAAAATGTAGAAAGTCGTGGAAAATAACGAAATATCGGGAGCGGAGGCGCAGAATAGCTTGAAGCCCATTGTATATCTTTGATGCAGAGTTTTAATGGCTCGGTTGAGAGCTATTTTCTTCGAGCACCATATTTGACTTGCGTCCGTTTACGCTAGCTTCTTTGTACAGATAGCCTCGAACCTTCAGACGCCTTCAGGGCATGCCGATGTCTTCTACAACAGTTCAAGGCGGTTTACGATCTTCATAACCGGTATTCAGAGCCCATCAGTCTCAACTGAAAGTATGAAAGAAACGAAAAGGGAAAAGGGGCACCGGCAGGTTGGGGAGTTTCGACGCCCTTAGGTGGGTGCTCAGCATGCTGGTTTTCTACTACCCGCCGCGGGTCGAGCTCACTATTCAATCATAAGTAGCAATATCCGCAATATATATCAGACGCAGCAGCTACAATCAGCGGTCTGAATTGAGATAGCCGGACGACTCAGGGAGGCGAAACGTAGCCATTGTCGCTCTTCCTCATTGACCTACGCGTCATGTATGGACTTTTGATTGCAGTTATCAACGGGCAAGATGGCCGAGCGGTCTAAGGCGCTAGCTTCAGGTGCTAGTCGAGAAATTGGCGTGGGTTCGAATCCCACTCTTGTCACGCTACTTTTGCCTCATCCGGCGACTGATTCTTTTCAATTTGCTTCATTTTACAATGAAATGCGTTTGGTGACGATTTTGATTGAATGAGTTTCGATCGGGCGGCGGTGGTGGGTGAGAGACCCGCTTTTGCCGGGGCGGGGCCGTGGGATGGACGTTGGAGGAAGGGGCAGGTGCTGCGGCGTAGCTTCCAACACGAGCTGGGGCGATAGGTTCCTTCCAATTTGAGCCACAGCAAGATCATCAGGGATGCATGAAACTCTTTTGCCTGCTCTGTGCCGAGTCTTCAACACACATGCAACCATCGACCATGAGGAGACGGGCCGGTCCACCTGACGTTTGAAATTGGCCATGCTACGTTTCCACTGCCTGACATTTAAATACTGTGACCAGAAGCCTGGAAGTAATACTCCCGGCAGATAAAGATACTCCATTGTCAGTTACTACGGATGCTTCTCGCCTGTAAGATTTTAATGTCGATCGTATGGTATCAGCAGGGTAATTGCCGGAAATCCAGATCGTTCCCAACACAAGACATATGGCGGCCGTCTCATCTGGGTGACGTGAGCACTTAGCTTTTGCAGGAGCTGTGAAGACGAGCGTCTTGGGTGGAGGGCTTGTCAACGGCCTCTTCATGCCCGACTTACACACGAAGCATAAGTCAAATATTGTAAGGTCAACTCTCAGACCTGATTACGAGTGGCCAAGTTCAAATCAAATGGCATTCGTTTACTTAATCACATCGACTTGAAAACCCACAAACACATCTACCGCTCAACCTCATCGACACCCCCATCCCCCAGCTCCCTCTCAAACGTCATCTGGATATCCACAACCTGCAACAGCTGCCCGACATCCAGCTTCCGCTTCTTATGCGCCGCCAGGCTCTTCGCCGTGCGCACCACATTCTTAATCTGCCGCCCATTGAGGTTTCCCTCCGCAAGCCTCTCGTACCCCTCCTCGTCCACCTCCACCCCTCCCTCGACGCCCGCCAGAAAGTTCTTCCACACCTTCAGCCGGCTCTCCTTGGGCAGATCGTCATACTTGAGCGGCACGTGGATCCGGCTCTTGAACGCATCGTCAAACGTCCGCACGCGGTTCGTCGTCATGAACAGGATGCCCGAGTAATACTCCAACGTGCGCAGGAAAATCGACACAAGGCTGTTCCTTCCCAAATCATGCAGCGACCGCCGCTCGAGGAACACATCCGCCTCGTCGATGAGCAGCACCGCCTTCCACGTCGACGCCAGATCAAGCGTCTGCCCCAGCTTCTCGTCCAGCGCCTCCGCCGACGTGCCCAGGTCGCCCGAGGACACAATGTACAACGGCCGCCGGCTGAACTCGGCCACGCACTCCGCCGTCAGCGTCTTGCCCACGCCTGGCGGGCCGTGCAGCACCAGGATCAGGCCCTTGCCCTTCCCCTTGACGATGTCGTCGAACTCGGCCCCCGCCGTCGCGCGCGCCGTGTGCTCCGCCACGAGCGCCTGCACGAGCTCCTTCTGAGTCTCTGGCAGGACGAGCTGCTCGAAGCACTGCGTGTTCCACTCGATGTCACGAATCTTGTCGACAAAGAAGTCGAAGAAGCGCTTCTCCGCGAAGCTGAACCCGCGCACCGTCGGGGCCGCCAGCAGCGCCTGCTCGTCCGTCAGCGGGGCGAACTTGTCGGCGGGCGTCTCGCGCGGGACGAGGTCCATCTCGTCGCTGTCGAGCGCCTGCTTGCGCTTCTGCCCGGCGGTCTTGGGGAACGCGGTGACGGTGAAGGCGGCGTCGGCGTTGATGCGGTGGTGCGTCTGCGCGTCGACCATGACGCGGCCGTCGATGTTGTACCGGCGCATGCGCTCGTCGAGCGCGACGCCCTTGTACTCGCGGAAGTTCTGGCCCGCGAGGGCCTCGAAGCGGCGGCCGCGGTGCGTGAGGAGGGCCGTGACGGCCTCGGGAGAGGGGTGGTGCGCGAGCGGCATGGCGTTGAGCGCGGCGACCTCGACGGCGCCCTGGAACGCGGGGATCTGGAGGTACTCGAAACGGGTACCGAAGTCGTCGCCGTCGAAGTCTACGTACTCGACGCCGAGGCGGAGGCCGGGGCACTGGCCGCAGACGTAGTCGTACGAGCGGAGCTTGTAGGCGCGGGCCTGGCTGAGGCGGGTGGCGTAGACGAGGCATCCCGGGCGGAAGATGGTCCAGAGGTACTCGTAGCTGATGAGCCGCTGGCCGAGGAGGTTGGTGGTGTTCTTGATGGTGTCGGCGAAGTGCTCGTCGATGAAGGCGAGGAGGAGGGGGAGGTGGCGGGCGCCTTCGGAGTCGGGGTCGAGGTCGTTGCCCGCGGCGGCGAGGTCGTCACGATAGTGGTAGAGACTGCGAGGGGGGAAGGCGACGGAGATGTCGGACGTCATGTAGGACTGGCCCGGGTATATGCCACCGATGACGTCCTTGAGGATGGTCTTGAGCGAGGGAGAGTTGACTTCGAGGGATGTGCGGCAGACGAACTCGTTTTGCATGTTGTACTCGCGGGTGATCTGGCCACGTCAACACCAAGCCGCTGTATTCAAGGAAATGGATACTTACGCAAAGAGCGTACTTTTCATACCAGTTGGTCTTCTCCTCAGGGACATCTTCATCCTCCTTAGGCTCGGCGATATACGCCCGGCCCTTCTTGGTCCATCGCTTCTCGAGATGCTTCAGCTCGATCTGCATGGGAGCCTTCTCGAGTTCCTCGCGGCGCTTCTTTTCTTCCTCAGTGAGAGTGCCGTTGATCTCGTTCTGATCCTCCTCGTCGATGGGCTCATCTTGGGTGCTTCTGCGAGCGGTTTGCTTGGTGCGAGCCATGGCTGGACGTGCTGTTGGATATGCTGTTCCACGTGCTATTGGTTCTATTGGAAGTGCTGCAGGATGGCGCAACGGTATTCGGTACTCTCTAGGAATAGATTCGTTGGTGCAATTCCTTCCCTCAACGAAGTTTGACGAAGACATTCTTATACCAGCAAACGGCCCTCTGATCTTGTAGTTGGAAGATACCAAGGTAAACAAAGTTGAGCCTCAGGGGCTAGGCATAAAAGTCCTAGATGCAGGCAGCCGTACCCCGCTCGGACGAGCAAAGAGTCACCGGCTGCCGCAACCGCATCAGATACGCCATGTCCCAGGGTGCTGTGACTCAAAATGATATCAAAAGGATCAACAGAATTCGATATCCGACATCGTTCTTTGGGGAATCTGCCTGTTTCGGGGACTGACCTCTGCGGCACGGTCCAGAGACGGGGCTGTTGCTGCCTGCGCTGCCTTGAATCCTGCGTGCCGTTCCCCGCGACCCAGACTGGCGGCCCGGTAGCCTCACCTTCGGCGGCCTAGCCATCGGACGAAAGATGCCTACAGCGAATCAGGGCGTGGAGAAAAGGACATCGCTAGGCAGAACCGGGGCGGGGAGATCGGCTCAGGCGCCGGGGGATGATGCCGCTGAGCGAAGGTGGTCTGGACCCTGACGACATTGGAAACACCCTTGTCGAGATGAACATACCTGCCGAAGTTTGTACGCAGCCGCACGACCACAAATTGAAGTTGATCGTACCTGGTGTTCGTAGACTCCTTCAGAGCGTGCGAAGAAGTGATGTGGAAGGACGTATAAAGGCTACAATGACTAAGCAACCGTCAGCCACACATCAAGGCAGAAGTGTGGCGCAAACGAAGAAATCACAAGCAGCAAAACACGCTTACAAGACATAAAAACTCTTTTGTATCTGACTCTAAATACATGCTGGTCTTACCAGCGCACCTCGTACTCGGGTGCTGGGCTTCCTCCTCCTCCAATCACTGAAACGCAATGCAGCGAATGCGAAAATGGTGTATCAGTCGCCATGTGATGTTACTCTATCCCCAAAACTCCGTAATTATATCATGCTAATTGCGTATATACAGCAAGACAAGTGTTTAACGGCGCGATCGCTCGGCGGCGGCGGCGCTCACTTTGCTGGCCTTCTCGACGGCGCTGGTCATGGCCAGACCGACAGGCGTCATCGTTCCGCTGGGAGCGGGAGTGTTAGTCCTCGTCGGAGGAGCGGAACGGTTGTGCTGCATGTGAGCCCTGACCAAGTGGCCGGCCGCCAAGGCACTGCAAAGCGACAGCTCACCGGCCAAGACACCAGCAGCGATAACACGGGCGAGGCGGCGGGCGTTCTCGCCAGGGCTCGTGGGGTGGGGGCCACGGACACCAAGCATGTCAAGCATGGCGCTCTGGGGCTCAAGGATAGTGCCACCGCCGAGGGTACCGACTTCGAGAGAGGGCATGGAGACAGAGATCTGGAGGGATCCGCGGAGGCTAGGGACCTGTTAGGAACTGGCGATAAATTGCAATGGCTGTTTTACTTACTTCTTCATGACAGTGATGCAGTTGGCACTCTCGACAACCTGGGCGGGATCTTGACCGGTGGCAAGGAAGATGGCGGCGACAATGTTGGCAGCGTGGGCGTTGAATCCACCAATGGAACCGGCCATGGCTGATCCAATGAGGTTCTTGTTAACGTTGAGCTCGACCAGGGTGTCGACGTCGCTCTTGAGCACGCTCTTGACGACATCGCCAGGGATGATAGCCTCGGCGACGACGCTCTTTCCACGTCCGTCGATCCAGTTAATGGCGGCAGCCTTCTTGTCCGTGCAGTAGTTACCAGAAACAGAAACGATGCTCATGTCCTCAAAACCCTCGGAAGCCATGACGGAGAGAGCGTGCTCGACACCCTTGGAAATCATGTTCATGCCCATGGCATCGCCGGTGGTGGTCTTGAAACGGATGTACAGGTTGGTGCCAGCGAGAGCAGTCTTCATGGACTGCAGACGAGCAAAGTTACTGGTAGAGTTGAAAGCCTTCTTCATGGTGGACTGACCAGCCTCAGAATCGAGCCAGATCTTAGCAGCACCAGCACGCTCGAGAGTCTCGAAAGCAACGCAGGGTCCGCGGGTCATGCCGTCGGCAGTCAGGACAGTAACAGCGCCGCCGCCAGAGTTGATAGCCTTGCAGCCACGGCTGGTACTGGCGACCAAGACGCCCTCAGTGGTGGCCATGGGGATGAAGTAGCTCTGACCGTCAATAACGAGAGGACCAGCGACACCGACAGGGAGGGGCAGGTAACCGATGACGTTCTCACAGCAGGCACCAAAGACACGCTCCCAGTTGTAGCCGGCGTAGGGAAGCTTGGAGCGCTCGAGGCTGCCAGTGAGGTCGGAGGTAGCGTTGGTACGGGAGATGATGCTGCGGCGGATCTTGACGGCACGGGTGTGGTCCTTGAGAGCGCGCTCGAGAGAGTAACCTGGAATCTTGCCGCGGAGAGACATGCCGACGACCTCCTGGTCGCTCATTTCGTGGACACGCTTCTCGTCGATCATCTTCTGCAGCTCGGCAATGGTGCGAGGCTCGGGGGTGCTGGCCTTGGTCATGGACAGCTCAGACTCATCGTCCGACAGTGCCGGAGTTGCGGGCTTGGGCGTCTCGGGAATGTACTCGCCAAGGGGCAGGGTGGCCGAGTCGGTATCGTTAAACTTCTCAGCCTTGGCCAGCTCCTTGGGGTCGATCTGGTGGTCGGGGACATTGGGGTCCTTGATACCCCAGCGAGCGGCGTTGAAAAGGTAGCCGTTCAGAGCAACACTCATGGCGAGGGCAACGACGATCCACTTGGAGAGAACGGGGTCCTCCAGACTCTTCAGGATGCTGCCGACCATGCGGCCACCAACGCCATAGCTCTCAAAGTGGTCATACTCGTCGTCGTCTCTGGAGCCGGACCTGCTGGCGGGAGAAGGCAGGGCGTAGTGGATTGAGGGGAACTCGAGCTCGTACTTGATAGGGGTGAGGACAGTGACGACGGTCTGGCGCTCATTGGCCTTGGCCGACTCCAGGATAGCGTCAAGACCGTTGGAGGCCACCTTGAAGGGGTCGACGGGAGGGGCGGTCACAACGGCGCTAAGCCCACCGGTCAAAGAAGACAGGCTCGGGAGAGAGCTGGAGCTGCGGAACGGGATGGTGCAGATGTTGATGACGTTGATCAGGATGAATCCGGTGACCATGAGGACCTTGAACTTGGGGACGTTGCTGCTCTTCATCTGCTTGCCGAACAAAGAAGCCTCCTTGGGGGCCTTGCCGTTGAAATCGGCCCAATCGTTGCTCTGGGCCACGTTTTCGGCAACGCGGCGGCTGACACCGTCGTCCTCGAGAGCGCGGCGCATCTGCACATGGCGCTTGATGCGGTTGATCTCCAGCTTAATGCTCAAAATTGCCGTGTAGAAGGAGAAGAGCAGAATGCAGTCGAAGAACAGGATCCAGGCAGCCAGGAAGCAGAACTGCTGGAGACCACCCTGGACACCAGAGGCGGCGCCGATGATGAGCACAGCAATCTCAATGGCGTAGTCCTTGACAATGTCGTAGCCCTTCTCCTTGATGGCGGCCTGCACAGCGTACTGGATAACGTTGGGGGACGAGACCTCGGACTTCTTGGACTTTTTGTCCTCCTTGTTGTCCTTGGGCTTGCGGTGCTCAATGGCGTGGGAGAGAACGGCACGGGTGAGGACGATGTTCTTCTCGAAGCCAATGGTGACAACCAGGAAAGGCAGACCCTCGGACAGCAGAACCATGGTGATGGGAACGCCGAGCTTGGTGGTGACCAACAGACCGAAGAGGAAGGCGAAAACCGAGGAGAAGAGGACGTTGGTGAAGAGCCAGAAGTTGGAGCCCATGCGACGCATCGAGAGGAACAGGGAGACGAAGGTCAGGTGCATGGAGAGGTAGCCGAGGACCATGATGATGATGTCCAGAGCCTCGGCATTCTTCAGCAGGTCGATGAACTCGGTCCAGCCATTGCGAACCCACTGGACGAGGCTGTTGCGGGTGTGGACCTTGGCGGCCTTCATGATCCACATCTTCTTCTCCTTCCCGTGGACAGTAGTCTGGGTCTCGTCGCTAGAGGCATCGGGGATCTCTTGGGCGAGAGAGAGGAACTCGGGAGCCTGACAGTAGGGGACAGCGAAGGCGAGGGCGCTGTCCTGGGAGTAGCTCGTCAGGGAGTTGGAGGTCTGCGGCAGCGATGTGACGGACAGGTTCTGGGGGATCGGGACGGCGTGGGTGCGCGGGGCGGTGTTGACGGACTCGGGAGACTGAGACTCGGGGAAGACAAGGGTCAGGAGGGCGAGGTGGTCGACGTCCTTGGCGACAGTGGCCTCGGGCTCGACATTTTGCCATTTCCAGGCAGTCTCGGGGCCGGCTTGCAGACGGCGACTGCCCTCAGTGAGGGAGGACCAGTCGGCGGAGCGGACACTGATTGTAGCATCGAACAGGCTCTCCTGCAGAAGTCCTACGTAGGAAGTGCTGGCGAGGACGGCGACGATGACGACGGTGTGGATCGGGTGGGAGCAGGCGACCTTTGAGAGGAACTTGAGGCCGGGCGTGAGCTTCTTGTTGAGCCAGGAGGGAGCAGCGGCCTGGGCGGCAGGCTGCTCGCCCCGGAATCGGCTGGGGAGAAGCGATGAAGATATCATGGCGAATGGAGCGGTGAATGCAGCCGTAACGATTAGGAAGTCATTTGGGGTTCGAAGATCGGATCAAAGGGTCTGAAGCAAGAGTCTGGGTCGGACAGTTAGCAATTGACGCCTCGACGAGAGTTGGAAACGGAGCTCAGGGCCGTTGTTGAGTGCGCGAAAAAGTCGCGAAAGGGGTGGCTTGGGGGAGGAAGCGGGAAGCGGGCGATTGGATTGGAGTGAGGAAATTTTGGGCTAGGTTTGGCGGCGCGGCTTATTGATTGTGTGGTGCTAAGCTCTCGTCCAGTGCAGCATCGCCTGCGGTGTAGGTAAGGTAGGTACTACTACAGTATGCTCTGCGGTACGGTACGGAGCGGTGCGGGATGCGCTGCAACTGCAGCTGCAATTGCAACTGTAATGCCAATTGGGTTGGAGGGGTCGAGAGTTGCGCATCGTACGTACCTGTCCCAGTCGACGGAGCAGAGAGGCGCCGTTGACGTCTTTCGTGTTCAAACGTGCAGCTTAGTGCCTCAAGGATTATGCGCGCACACAACAACTTTTCGTGAGAAAAGTCGATGTTGAGGGAGGAAGAAGGAAGGCGACAGGGCAGGCCGAAAATTTGAAAAATTATTAGTCGAGAATCCGGTCGGAGATCGAGGCTGGTCGGTGGTTGCGGAGAGCCGAAGTCGCAAGGAGCTGTTGAAGTGCTCAAATTCGGAGGAGTGGGTTACTATGCGCAGCGCCGGTTTCCTGTTGAAGAGGACGGGACTGACTGCGAGTAGCGTAGGGGAAAGCTGAGGGAGGGAGGACGAGGAGCGAAACAAGACCCTCGCGATGCAACGGCGGCCAAGTACCTTTTTACTTGTAGATATGGAGCCTGCTGCTGGGTCGGAACGGGTCGAGAGGGGGGGGTCGGAGGCCAGGGTGCGTGTATGGTGTTGTTCAAGTCCTAGGTTGTCTTGGACTGGGACACACAGAGACTAAGAGAGGCTCTTAGTGCGGTTGGTGATGATGCTGACGCCGCTGCTGACCCTTCAGATATGTAGATTACAGGCCAAGGGATAAAAGGCCAGTTGTTGTCGGTGGCGGGAAGGATAGGTCGTGATGTTGGAGGAAAGGAGCAAGCACGAAGACGTTCACGAAGGAGGGCGGGAGCAGCACGTTTAAAGATGCCAGGAGGCGGCAGTCGGAGACAGAGCAAGAAAACAGAGTTGCTGACACCCGGATGCTTGTCTTTCTAGGTCCAAGGTATCAAGGTACGAAGTACTTTCGTATTGCAACAGACAGGAGACACCGAAAGAAGAGAGGGAAAGAGAACCAAGAACGAGAGCCAGGACCAGAGAGAGGCCTGGAATTGGTACCGGCCGCGAAGAGCAAAATTGAGGTACCCGTTCGCAGCGGGAATTTACCGTGGCAGACAAAGTACAAGCAGCTCCACACGGGACGAAATTGAGTGATGCTAATCCCAGCAACATGCGTTGGGCTGGACGGGGACACTGGGGGGGAGCAGCAGGCAGGTTTGTGGCCGATGATGATGATTTCCCTCGTCTCTCACCCACAAAGGAGACGCAGGAGAGGAAAAAAAAAGAAAAAAAAAGAATTTGACGTGGATTGCCCAGCAATGGCAAATTTACCGATCATGGTCCGCCCCTCATGTACCGCGGTACCTCTGCGACGCCTTACCTTATTCGGTAAGAAGGGCTGTGTGTCAACTTCCCCCCAACGCCGTAGCCTGTGCAAACAGCTCAGCCAACAAGGGTCCCACCCAGCTCGTCTTTGGCCGCCATTTCTGACATTAGAAGTCTGCAATATCTTTGGCAAGGTAGTCAGCATCTAGGTAGTCAGCGCAAAGGAAGCTGATAACAACACCGATGTTCCTGTTGCGTATTACCTACTGCGTCCTTCATGTCTCTGCTCGGGCTGGGGCGGCTGGGCAGACGTTGGGCTGTCGCATCTGCCCCGGCATGTCTGTCGTCACCCGCTAAGGTGCCTTTTGCGCTATCTGGAAAGGCCAGGCGGAAGCTAGGCGTCACTGTGCCTTCTTAGCATAAGGTATTGGAGCGCCCCCAAAAGGCTAACAGGCAGACAGTAGTGCATGTGTCACAGGGGGGCTACCGCAGCTGCAGCGCCGCACAGATGGCTCGTCTCGTCTCGTCCAATGAACTTTTATTGCTCCCTCTCTATGAAATGGACGAACCAAAGGATTAGGTACCGGGTGGGTGGGAAGAACAATCGGTCTAGCACAATGGCTCGAGGACCGCCACACTGTAGCATCCTGCCTAAATCGTGTAGTTTGTTTGCTTCTCGGCCTCTTAGATGATGGTGTCTGCCCCTCCTCCATGTTTTTGTAGCTTGGTCCCTGAGCATTGGCGCCGGATTGGTGGTGACCCGTGGGCGATAGCTCGTCTATCTTATCTCGTGCCAGTCCGATAAGGGACCTCGATGATTCGGCACCTGCATCACTGGACTGCTCAAAGCCTCAAACCACCGAGAACTACCTGCTTTAACCAAGAACTAACTACGGATACCAAGAGCACCGCCAACGCCGCGTAACGGAACACAGACACAGACACAGACACGGGACCTGCTGCGGTCGGTCGGCGGCCCTGCGGTGTGCGGCAACTCTCAGTCGTGTATCTGATATGGAGTCCGTTAGTTATCATGACACCACAGACGCAGCAGGGACGGCGGTAAGGCAGGGTCCCATCCGGCGAGACGACGGGCGGTCTTCGAGAAGGGTCCAAGGGTGCAGGTCCGTTTCTGCAGCAGAAGAGAAAAGAAACTAAGGGCGGTTCGATTCTTTCCCAAACAGATTCTGATCTGGGTTCTTTTCGGTGTCGGCTCCGGCAGGCGAACCAGCAGGAGCATAGGTTGGAGGTGAAGTTGCAACTGCCTGCCAGCAACTGTAACTGCAACTGCAACTGCAACTGCGACTGCAGGAGCTGGTGTCCGTACCGGGTGGAGTGCTTATTCCCCTGCTGAGGTGTGTTCTCTGGGTCCTTCCTTCCTGTGCTTCTTCCCTTGTGCTGGCTGACGTTGGGAATGAACTGCCCGCAGCCAATGGAACCCATTGCACCCGGATTTACACCGGGGTTACATTGACGTGATTGAGCCAATCCCAGCCGACCTTTCGTGGAATTGCAGTGGGTCTGGCCCTGCCTGGACTGACCCGCTGTGCTGTGCCTTTTTCTTTTCTGCTGGCAAGTGCGATTGTATCCGCAACTGCCTGTAACAGCAATGGCAACTACGATCCATTGCTGTGCTGTGCCGTGCCGTCTTCCATCGTCCTTCCATAATAATTTCTGACATGCAGCTGTCTCGCTTCCAGTTCTTCATTCCCGTCCTGAACCAAAAGTCATCATCACCGGATTTCGGGTTCTCCCGCCCCCAACTCCTTCTGTCGAATCCCGTCCTCCACCGAGAAATGAGACGCTGACTTTCTTTCAGCACCTGCCTGCACGCACCATCATGGCTTACACCCATGTCCAGCTGTCCCATGCTGACTTGCTTCGGTCGGTTTGCTGCTTCAAGCCCTCCCTGCCCCGTCTCCCCCAGATGTCCCTCATCGACATGGCCCTCTGTCCCAATCTATCCACCTGGGACTGGGAACATCACAAAAGAACTGATTGCTTCACCCGCTCTCCCGCGCTTGCCTCGCAGACCTGATCTGACACGCCGGGTCCCTGGTCTTTTCGTCGACCTCCGCTGCCCATCGCCCACTCAATCCGACGCCGTACCCCCTCCGCCCGGCCCTTTTCCTCAACCACAACGCACCAGGGCATCACCGATGAAGCAGTGTCTTGACTCTCGACGTCTGCGGGACTGCGGGTACTGCCCGGCGGTGAGCCCGTGTGAGCCTGCATTCGTCGCCGTTGCCAATCGCCTGCCAATGGGACGCCCGCCAACATCAGATCTCTGCAGCCAACCCCTGGCGATCTCCTATTTTTCTTCCCCGTCTTCTTCCATCCACCGCATGGACCAGCCAAGGGCCCCTCGCCTTCCCACTGCCGCACCTCCAGCGTCGCGGGGCCACGGAACCCTCGCAATGCGCTGATACCCAAGCACACCTTACCACGTCTGCGGCGCAGCAGGTCCCTGTCTGCTGTCACTGGGTTGCTGTGAAATCCCAGTCGAAGCCACTCTTCTGCTTTCCTCAGAACGGATACCCTCTGGGCTCTCGCTGCGACTATCAATGGCCAATGCTCCCGCGGAGGGGCTCTGGAGCTGCTGGCCGGGCTGACCTGGGAGAGGGTATTCATGGAACATCGAGTCAGCTGTCAAAAACACACTGCGGGAGAAACTGTTAATCTTTGGGCCAGCAAACTAGCTTGCTATGCCGTTTACCCTATCTCGATCGAGTCTTTACAGGCACCTATTCGTCAGGGTAGGGCTGCATCCAAGCAAGCGCATGGAGCAAACACACGCTAGCAGACCATGCTGACGGACTGTCAGAAACCCAAAGACCAACAAGAGTGCTTGAAACACGATGCCGCACACGGAGCCCGTACGGAAGGATACTTTGATCGCGTTCCAGGTGCAGAACAGGAAACGGAGACTATTGCGCTTGGCCCGCCCTGCACCAACAGACGGGGCGGGAATGCCACCTTCTGGCCTCGTCTCATGAGACGACGCTCAAAGGAACGACAATTTCTCGGCCCCTCATCCCCGTCCTGCCGTGCCAACCCTTCGGACCTCCGGCCCCTCCACACTGACAATCCTCACCCCGCTGGCCTCCAATTCGCTCTTGCAGTCGTCCCATTTCTCTGCGTCCACCGGCTTGGTTCCCTCCTCGACGATGAAGGTCCGGAAGCCTTCCTTGCTCGCATCCAGCGCTGTGAATTTGACGCAGTAGTCGCCAGCCAATCCGACAACGAATACGTCTGTGACGCCCTTTCCTTTCAGTGCCCCCGCAAGCCCGCTGTCGGCGACCCTGGACGACTGGAAGGGGTCGTAGAAGGCGCTGTACATCTCCACCTCCTTCATCTGGCCCTTCTCAATGACGGTGTCGACGGCCGAGGCATCCAGCTCCGGTACCAGTTCCGCACCGGGCGTACCCTGGACGCAGTGCACCGGCCACAGACGGGTGTGATACGTCTCGGCGCTGTTTCGCGGGTTGACAATGGCGATGGAGTCAACAAACGGCTGCTTTCCTGGGTGATTGGAGGCGAAGGAGATGTGATCTGTGGGGTGCCAATCCTTGGTGGCTATCTTGGCGACGAACGGCAGCTTCAACAAGGCGTTGACGACGGTATGGATATCGCGGCCGTTGGTGACAGCGAGTGAGCCATGCTCCATGGTGTCAGTCATGTGCGCGGATTATTCCTCCATTTCTTTGACGATCATTGCCGGCTGGGCCTAGAACCATGATTACGGTTTGGATTCGTTGAAGTTGTCTACTTACAGGTGGGCAGAAATCCTCTTGGAAATCAACGACAATCAGCGCCGGTCTGAAGTGTTCCTCGGCCATATTGGTGGCGTCGTGTTTGTTTGCTCGTTGCTTGCTTGCACTCAGCTTGGCTTCTTCAGCCACTCTTCAGCGGACAAACACGGTGTCTGTGCGGATCGGTGTGATTCGAAGGGCTGTCTCTAGGGCGTCGAATCCGCGCAGACGGGTCCGTCGACTCGTGACAGTAAGTCCGATTTGAGTTGGTGATTGCAAACTGTCGCAGAGTCGCATGCAAGGTTGACGGGCCTCTCACGATAAGGCGAGCTGTGTCAGCAGCAAGGTATCCATATCGCAAAGGTGCCTTATCTGATCCTGGGTCCTTATCAGGCCTCGGCTATTTATCGCAACAGGTGTCTGCCTCAGTGGGGAGCTTGCCGGGTTCTATTCGCTACCGCGTTGGGCGGCAGACGACAACGTGGTGAGCAGGGGAATCTCGCGCTGTCCGTGGATGGCTACAGGCCAGGCCAGCCCCTGGGGACCGCAAATTACAGCGAGGTTGATCTGCCCTTGGATTTCCCTAGAGGCTCAAGCGGGCTATCTGAGGGCTCGGATGCACTATCTTATCGCAATTTGGGCGTCAATATTGACTGGCTGGTTCCTTGACTCGGGCAGTCGCTGTTTGTGTGGCCTTCTTTTTTAGGTGTTGATGGACTCAGGGAACCCCCTACAGCAGCAGACACGGCGCTGCCAATCCTGGAAATCGCGACAATCATGATGTTCTCTCAAGTATCAGGTACTTTTGGAAAAGTGTGGCCGCCAACCCTGAATCGTCACGTCACCACCAAACAGCAGCGCCACTTTTGGACAGCTGAACCATATGAGAAGCTGCAAGGACCCAGCTAAGCACTGCCAAGGCTTCTACGGCACCGTTAAGCTGCCGCCAAACTCCACTGGCGCGGCGGCCGTCCGTTCCCCCCCGCGGGGAGCTCGCAGCTCGCAGCTCTGAGCTCTGAGCTCTCAGCTCAGGGCATGGCATGCGCATTCCGAGCTTCACTCTTGTGATTCATTCGTGATGGGGATTGTGAGACATGATCATGCTCAACCGATGTGATGAACATGGTCTGCAGCAGCCCATGTCGAGCTGGACCCCTCCTCATTTCATCAAGATGCTACAATGCACAAAAGATCTTTGTTTGAAAAAATAAACCCCGAAATCCGTTCAGGTTTTGGCCTTACGTACGGGATTGCTCAGGGTTGGAAAAGATCCATCAGCGGGCATCCGACGTCGGCAGCCGTTGGTTTCAGGGCAATTCAGGGCAAGATCAAGATTCGAGGTGCTCGGTGAGCTCACCCCGACAATCATTACCACCGACTGCGCCGATCGGGACGTCATGTCTATCCCGACATTCTCGGTGAGCGGCTGGCTGGCTGTAAGTGAGTGGGTGGTCTCAAATCCCAATGGCGGGCACCTCGACCAAGCACACCAAGGGGCTGCAATGCCATTTCAGCACCCTCAGCTTGGAGCTCACGAGTGAAGCTCAGCTATCCTTACAGAAGGAGAGAGCTCCCACAGCTGGAGCTTCAGCACGCCTCAAGCAAGCCCCCAGCTCAAGGCGTCTCAGCCCTGCCGTGCAGCCTCCAATCATAGCGCCTCGGCGGTTGCTCAGCTACGGAAGTCCCCGAGCGCGACGCCACATCAGATGGCAGCCACTCTTTCTCAGGTGCCTCATCCAGTGAGCCAGTGACACGCCAGAAGCACGATGCAAACAGTTAGAGTGTCGCAGAACCGTGGTACAACACGGCCTCCTGATAAGAATCTCACAGCCTCAACGACTTCACCTTCACCTTCTCCGACGTGAACACCAACAACAACGTCTACACTATCACCACCTAGGCCAGATCCTCACACTGCATCGAAATGCGTCTGTCCACGGCGCTGCTGGCCTGCGCCGTTCCCTCGGTCCTCTCATGGGGCAACGTTGGCCACCGCACAGTTGGCTATCTCGCCGAGAAGTATCTCACGGATGAAGCTGCTGCACTGGTCGGCAAGCTCCTCGCCAACGACCGCAACTACGACATCTCGGATGCCGCAACCTGGGCCGATACCCTAAGAGGCCACATGGGCTGGGCGAGCAAATACCACTACATCAGTGAGCAATGATAGATACCTCTTATCACCAGCTCCAGCTTGAACATCTTCAACTCACACTCACCAGATCCCCGCGATGATCCTCCCAACCTATGCGGGATGAAATACCCCCAAGACTGTCCCTCCAGCGGCTGCGTCATCTCCGCCATCCAAAACTACGTCCGTCTCCATCTCATGTAACCGTATCTCAGTAGCTAATCAACCCGCCAGACGGCCCAAATCCTCGACACCTCCCTCCCTCTCATCAACCGCAAAAACGCCACAATGTTCGTCATCCACTTCCTTGGCGACATCCACCAGCCCCTGCACGCAACGGGCCTCCTCCGCGGCGGCAACGACATCCGCCCCGTCTGCTGGCGCCGCCAGCCCTCCAACGGCCGCTGCACCGGCCCCATGTCCCTCCACTCCGTCTGGGACACCCAGATCCCCCACCGCATCCGCGGCCTGGCCCCGCACCTCTCCATCCCGCAGGAGAAGGCCGCCGCCGCCTCCTGGGCGGCCGACCTCTTCTCCCGGCATGCGGCCTCCGGCGTTAATGCCACATCCGGGCAGTGCGTCGACCTCGCGACGGGCACCTGTGCCCTCGGCTGGGCGACCGAGTCCAACGCCTTCGTCTGCTCTCACGTGCTGAAGCCCGGCCTGCAGTGGCTCAAGGCGCACGACTTGAGCGAGGGGTACTACGACCAGACGTGGGAGGTCGTCGACGAGGTTATCGGGCGCGCGGGCGTGAGGCTGGGGGCTTGGTTGAATGCCGTTGCTGCCAAGTTGGCTTCGGAGACGGGACCTGTGTTTGAGGAGCTTTGAGAGGGGGAGGGCCAAGATTATCGGTCGCCGGAGGTGGAGGTCGGAGCATCCGAGCATCGGTCAAGCTGGGTCAGCCCGCGCTGCCAAGGGCCGACGTGCATGCGGGACGCATCGCAGAAAATGTTCCAAGCATTTGCAAACTTGCATTCTTCTCGTATCAGGAATAGATCGAAAGAGTGGCACTCACGTCATTCGACATCTCTTCGTCTCAAATGTTCAGCTTCGTCTACATCAGATGGAGTCAGCTCGAGAATTGAGACTGATTTCCATCACAGCCAAGCGTGGCGGTGTCGGACATGTCCACAAATCTCACTACTGCTTGAAAATTCTGAATATTCTCATTCGTGAGCATTCTGACATGGTATCTTACTCAATTCGCATGCTGCTGCCTGCTTACGACAGCTGCTGAGGCTGCGGTTCGTCTCTCTCTCCCGGCTTACGAGGCAGGTACCGAGCACTTTTGGGGTGCCATCGGCGTTCATCCGAGTGGACATCTGGCGGAACCCAGGACTTCGGTTCAACGGCATGTGATGGACCCTGTATGGGGGCGGGAGGATCGTCGTCAGCTTATGGGGGTGGCTGATGGGGTTCTTGTGTCTGTACGTCCTAGGTCAGCCTTATCGTGGAGACAACCAACAAGGCGGCGACGAGGCAACAGTTCAGTGGAACTACAGTAAGGCTTAGGTTCAGTAAGTTCAAGAGTAAGGAAATGTGAGGCGGACTCGGGATGAGACCGGGATACGATAGATACCGCAGTCTCGATGCCGGTTCTACTATCTGTTGGTTTACTGAAGGCTACTTGATGTAACGAAGACGAACATCCAATCAGCTCCCTCAAGCCTCCTTCTCCCCCGCCATCTTCTTCTCATCCCTCCCCTGATGAAGCGTCGCCGCAACCTTGCTCGTCAGATACTTATCCACATCAGGCAGACACAGCGCACACGCAACCGCGACAACAGAAAACCCAATATTCGCAAAGAACACAGTCCTGAACGCGTCCGCGCTAGCCTCCTGGTACGCCCTCGTGCCCACCGCCTGAATCGCATCCGTCAGCCCCTTCACGCCCCCAAACTCCCCCGTCGCGAACCCGGCGATGAGATCGGCCACGCTCGCCTCGGGCAGCCCCGCGCCCACGACGGCGGCGGGCACGCGCGCGGGCACCGTCTCGGCGAGGCGGTTGCTCAAGATGACGTTGTAGACGGACGAACCCACGGCGCTGATGAGGAAGCGGATGCTGCCGGCCATGCCGCTCGCGCCGCCGAGGTTGAGCTGGTCCGGCCCGGCGAGGGTGGTGATGGAGATGGAGAGGCCCTCGACCCAGCCGACGAGGAGGACGCCGAAGCAGACGAGGACGGTGGCGCGGGTGGGCGTGTCGGGCCCGCAGGTCGCGACGGAGGCGAAGCAGACGCCGCCGAGGAAGGCGGTGATGACGCACTGCCACTTGAGGCGGCCGATGTACTTCCCGGAGAAGCCGCCGACGATCTGGCCGACGAGGGTGAAGAGGGCGACGAAGGAGGAGAGGAGGGGCCCGAAGAAGGGGCGGTTGATCGGGTCGGCGTAGAGGACGGCGACCATCTGTGGCCAGACGAGGGCGAAGGCGAAGTAGACGCTGGCGGCGAGGCCGGAGAGGATGGCGGAGGCGACCCAGCCGAGGTTGCGGAAGTAGCGCATGGGCACGAAGGGCTCGCGGAGGGCGGCGAGGGACTCCCAGGCGACGAAGGCGGCGAGGGCGGCGACGCCGACGACGATGGTGGCGATGACGCTCGCGGAGGACCAGGGGTAGACGACGCCGCCCCAGTTGAGGCCGAGCATGAGGACGAGCAGGCCGCCGGTGTAGAGCAAGGCGCCCGGGTAGTCGAAGGCGCGGACGTAGGACCAGACGCGGGCGTGGGCGCCGTACTTCATCTTGAAGGTGGGCGGGTGGTAGAAGAGGACCCAGCAGGCGAGGGAGGCGGCGTTGATGGCGATGAGGATGTAGTAGCAGCCGCGCCAGCCGATGTGGGGGTGGCACTGAACGAAGGCCTGGGCAATGACGGGGGCGAAGCCGGAGCCGGGGATGCAGAAGACGTAGCAGACGGCGTTGGCGGCGAGGCGGTACTTCATGGGGACGAGCTCGCCGACGACGTAGTAGAAAGAGAGCTGGGTGGAGGCGGCGATGCCGATGATGGTGGTGCCGCCGATGAACATGTTGACCGAGGTCGCGGTGGCGGCGACGATGCTGCCGATGACGCCGAGGGCGGCGCCGGCGATGAAGACGGGGCGCCGGCCGAAGATGTCGGTCACGCGACCGATGATGGTCAGGCAGACGGCTGAGGTGAGGGTGTAGACGAGGGCTGCCCAGACGATGTTTGGGTCCTGCGATGGGGTGTTAGTGAGGTTGAAGATAGGAGCAAAAGGGGGGAGAGGAAGACGTACCGGTCCGATGTCTGCGTTGATGACGGTGAGGATCGGGGCCGCGTAGGCGAAGCCGCAGACGCCGGCGAGGAGGCCGAGGCCGATGGCCGTCATGGAGCCGAGGAAGAACTTGCTGCGGAAGTAGCCATCGGGGAGGCAGTCTTGGTCGATTTCGTCGAGGTGGGTGCTGTCCGAGTCGAGGGAGGAGGGCCCATGTTCACGGACGTGGACGGCTTCCTCGTCGTGAGGCTTCTTCGTCTCGGGATGATCCATGGTTGACTATCGGACAAGTTGGATGGGTGATGGGATAGGACGACCACGGAAGATGGGAGCTCGCGACATTTTGGACTCTTTGAAAGCACAAGAAATAGGCATTCAGAAACAAGGGTCCAGGACGGGCGGGAGATCCGTCACCCAACAGCGTTGTATCCCGAGTGTGCTGTGTAACAGCTGAAGAGAGCCTTCTCATTGTCGAGGAGTTGAATAAGAAACCTGCAGGGGGCCTTCATTGGTTTGTGTAGCGAGGTGATATCAAGCCATGCCGTGCAGTCTGTTCGGTGAAAGTCACCGGCCAATGGGGGGTGGGTAACAGCTCTTGGTGGTTGCTGGGTGCATTTTCCCGATCGGGAAGGATAGCAACATTGAATAGGCTCGGCAAAGCATTGTGCATGGCCGTTCACCAGCCGGCTGAGACGCCCCCGAGTAGCAAACACCAGGGTCGTTGGCATGTTTGTCGGGGGCTGTTGGGGCTGCGCCATGTGGTGTTGGGGGATGCTGGAGCGAATTCCACGAACCGTCTAGCGGTGAGCTTGCTTGGACCCGGATATTTGGGATTATGGGATTCTAGAAGGCCATGTTTGGCGAGCGCACGTGGAAATACGGGTTGCTGCTTGGGGATTCTGGACCGGATCTGCAGGCTTGGTCGGGGATTCCGTTGCATATGCAGAGTGCTTTCGGATGTTTCGCTTAGGAGGTTGCATTCGTGCGTGTCTATCTTTGGGCGTGGTCCATCATTTCCTGTTCTAGGCTTTGGGAATGAGAAAACTTGCGCGGGGACTATGTCGTCTCGCATGATTGCGGGTTTTCTCCATCTTGACGGGGTTCGAATAGTCGGCGACACTGTTGGCTCCCGGGGAACCTGAAGTCTCCTTTAGTTTGGTTCATGAGAACGGAACTCGCTAGAATACCACTCGCAACGTTTTCACTTTGCAAACGACCTTGAGCTAGGCTGGATATGTGCAACAATGCAGTCATGGGCTATTTACAACCTAGAAAGATGAACTGAAGGATAATAACAATCAAATGTGCGGCGGCGTAGTACCATCTCCATCCAAACCGCATCAGAAAGGAAAGTACTGTGATGATGCTCCAGGCCGAGAGGGTTGTGAACAACAAGATACCCACGAGTTTCAGACGAAGCTTTGAAATTCGCCAGTCGTCGATGTTGAGGCCGAAGGTTACCGCAACAAAAGCATTGATAGGCTGTACAAAAAAAGCACAAATGGCCGCTTGCTTCAGAATGTTTGACGGTTGGGAGAAGAGCAACAACACAAAAACCGTTGTTACCAAGAAGAACAGATGCAGACACATGATCCACATGACGCTCGTCGACCAACGCGACTGCGAAAAGTAGAATGACAACGAATTTCGCACATCCACATGTTCCGATGTCATAAAAGTGGCTTGATTCAAAAGTGCCACGATTTCGCCTTCACTTCCCACGCTTATGGTTAACGATCCATTCCGAGGTAATAAAATATTAACTTCTTGAGGTCCCGCCCCCCCGCGAGATTGCCGCAAGTCGTTCAGTGGGACTGCTTGCAGGCTGTTCTGATTCGATGTTGAGGATTCTTCACTTGCGGTTTCTTTCGATTCGATTTCCCGTCTTATCCTTGATATTCGACTTGGAACTTCTGGGTCAGTCGTTTGCCTTGTCAAAATCTCTGTGTTCTCATCAACGCCTGTCCTTGTGATCTCGAAAGAAGGAAATTTGAGGCCTTACCATTTCTGTAAGCCGTTAACAGGGTTATGACTTGACAATCTAATCCTCTACCATGTTCTCGTTTTTTGACTTCTTTCTGGGTCTGTGTCGCAACGAGTATGGACACGCCGATTGTCGCCAAGGGCCCTAAAAGAAGGAAAACAGGTAAGATCTGCCCGAAACCCCATTGGTTTTCTGAGTCGTTGATCTTAACTGAACCGCGTGCCATCAATAGGCGGATTGTTCCCCAGAGCAAGGATATTAGAAGCCAGAACAGCTATACATCTTACATGTTAGGCGATATACATGAGTGGGAAACATGAGCGCCACTCGCGTCAGCTAACTCGGACAACATTATCTCCAAATATAGCTTCGTCACCAAGTAAGAGGAAATCATCAAGTCTAAGGGCCTTAAGATTGCCAGCAGTCTTCTTTTGGGGGGCGTATTTCCAAAGCGTCGGTGAGCCTTTGCAGTGGCAGTGAGACAGTGCGCTGACCAGGAACAGGGACGCCAGGCTAACCAGCGCTCAGTCCCAGAGTCAGCCCTACCACGGCTGATCGACCTAGTAAAGGCTGGGGCTACAGCCTTACCTACTCTAGGGGAACTGCCCAGCCCAGCAGAGCTGGACACCCTAG